AAGTCGGTTGTTACTACTCCTACTCCTACTCCAACTGCGGCCAATGTCTTGGCAATCGGGCATGGCAAAGGGAAGAAGAGAAAGAACCCTTCTAAGGGTACCAAGGGTAAGACCCTTGAAGGCTCCTCTTCAAGCAAAACCAAGAAAGGTTTTGTCACTCCTTCTGCTAACCCTAATGAGGCTGAATGCTTCTATTGCCATGAAAAGTCGCACTGGAAGCGAAACTGCCCAAAGTACCAGCAAGATTTGAAGGATGGGAAAGTAAAACCCAACCATGCAGGTATATACACTATATTGTCTAATAACTCACCTCATTCTAAGTCTTGGGTCCTTGATACAGGTTGTGGTATTCACATATGTTGTGATTTGCAGGGACTAAAAAGAAGTGAGAATGTGGAGCAGGGAAAGATAAACTTGATCATGGGAAACAGGAAAGCTTCACCTGTCACCAAGATAGGAGTTTATTCCTTAGTGCTAAATAGTGGGTTTACATTAGATTTGAATAAATGTTATTATTCGCCAGAAATGGCAAGAAATGTTATTTCCTTTCATGCATTGTATAAACAAGGTTTTACCTTTTATTTTGATAATAATAATGGTAGTATTGATGCTTTCTTTAATAATGTTCTTTATTTTAAAGCATTACCTTGTGATGGCGTGTATGAAACTGTATCTGTTGTAGATAATCTAGGAAATAATGTATTGTGTATTAACTCTTCCACTAGCTTAGATAAAGCATCCTTATGGCATTGTCGTCTTGGACATGTAAGCAAGAAACGCATAGGCCAACTCCAAAAGGATGGAGTCTTGGAGTCATTTGACCTAAAGTCAGATGATAGTTGTGAATCTTGTTTGCTTGGTAAAATGACAAAGTCACCTTTTACTGGCACTTGTGCTAGGGGTGAAGGTTTGTTGGACCTCATACACACGATGTGTGTGGACCCTTCAGAACCGCCACAAGAGATGCTAATCGGTTCTATGTGACTTTTACTGATGATTTTAGTAGATATGGATATGTCTACCTAATCAAGCATAAGTCAGAAACCTTTGAGAAATTCAAAGAGTTTAAGCAAGAAGTGGAGAATCAGTTGGGCAGGAACATTAAGATGCTTCGATCCGATCGTGGTGGTGAGTATCTTAGTACTGAGTTCCTTGACTATCTTAAGGAATGTGGGATTGTCTCACAATTGACACCTCCTAGGACACCACAGTTGAATGGTGTAGCTGAGAGGCGCAATCGGACCTTGTTGGACATGGTTCGTTCCATGATGAGTCGAGCTTCGCTACCAATCTCATTTTGGGGGTATGCCTTAGAGACTGCCGCCCATATCCTTAATCTAGTCCCTACAAAGAAGGTTGCCAAAACACCTCACGAGGTGTGGACTGGAAAAGTTCCCAATCTAGACCACATCAAGATTTGGGGTTGCGAGGCTTTCGTGAGACGCGAGACTCACGATAAGCTCGAACCCCGAAGCGAAAGGTGTATTTTCATCGGCTACCCACAGAAATCCTTTGGTTACATCTTCTACAGACCCAGTGATAATGTGGTCTTTGTAGCAAGAAGAGGATTCTTTCGAGAGAGAGAGAATTCATGAGCCAAGGAGACAGTGGGAGGCAAATTGACCTTGAGGAAATTCAAGAGTCAAGTGGTGAAGGAACCTCAAACCCTAGCCCTCAACCTGAGGAGGAAACTCCTGTTGAGCCGACTGAAGAATCTATACCTCTGAGGCGTTCCACCAGAGTTAGGAATGCACCTGAGCATTTTATGGTTTTCATATTACTGCAGAAGGTGAGACACTTATCAGTGATAACACACTGGTAAATCTGGATGAGCCTAACAGCTACACGGAAGCCATGGCAGGCCCTGAGGCTGCTAAATGGAAAGAGGCTATGGATAGCGAGATACAGTCCATGTATGACAATCAAGTTTGGAACTTGGTTGACAATGTACCTGATCGTAAGATAGTTGGGTGCAAATGGATCTTCAAGAAGAAGACCGACATGGATGGTAATGTACACACTTATAAGGCACGACTGGTTGCAAAGGGTTATTCTCAAACTCCGGGAGTTGATTATGATGAGACCTTTTCACCAGTGGCCAAGATTAAGTCTATTAGGGTTCTGTTAGCCATTGCTGCATTTCATGATTATGAAATATGGCAAATGGATGTCAAAACCGCTTTCCTTAATGGAAAGTTGGCTGAAGATGTTTACATGGTTCAGCCAGAGGGTTTTGTCAGTACAGAGTACCCAGTAGAGTGTGTAAGCTCGAGAAATCCATTTATGGATTAAAAACAGGCACCTCGCAGATGGAATCTTTGCTTTGATGAGAAAGTCAAAGAATTTGGCTTTTCAAGGAGTGAAGATGAATCTTGTGTCTATATCAAGGCTAGTGGGAGTATAGTCAGCTTTTTGGTACTGTATGTGGATGACATACTACTCATAGGAAATGACATCCCAACCCTGCAGGAAGTAAAGTCCTGGCTTGGGAAGTGTTTCGCTATGAAGGACCTTGGAGAAGCTGCCTATATCCTAGGGATAAGGATTTTGAGAAACAGGAGTAAAAGACTAATTGGACTTAGTCAAAGCACCTATGTGGACAAAGTGTTGAAAAGGTTCAACATGCATAACTCCAAGAAAGGAGAGTTACCCATCCAGAGTAACGCCAGATTGAGTAAGACACAAAGCCCTAGTACTGAGGCTGAGATAGCAGAAATGAGTCGAATACCTTATGCTTCAGCTGTAGGATCGATCATGTATGCTATGACGTGTACTCGACCTGATGTAGCCTTTGCTTTGAGCATGGTTAGCAGGTATCAGGGGAACCCTGGCAAGGCACACTGGACTGCGGTAAAGAATATCCTCAAGTACCTACGGAGGACTAAGGACTGGGTCCTTACCCTCGGTGGCAGTGAGGACTTGAGAGTTGTAGGGTACAGTGATGCTAGCTTTCAGACTGACAGGGATAATTTCCGCTCTCAGTCGGGCTGGGTTTTACTCTAAACGGGGGGCAATTACTTGGAAAAGTTCCAAGCAGGAGACAGTGGCTGATTCCACTTGTGAATCAGAGTATATAGCAGCAAGCGAGGCAGCAAAGGAGGCTATATGGCTAAAGAACTTCATCGGAGACCTTGGAGTTGTACCAGCTATAAAGGAGCCAATGGAGATTTTCTGTGACAGCAATAGTGCGGTTGCCTTAGCCAAGGAACCAAGAGATCTGGGAGATCCAGACACATTGACAGAAAATATCACTTCATCAGACATCGAATAGAAGAAGGAATCCTCGTGGCAAAGAGGGTATCATCGGATGAGAACCCAGCAGATCCCCTCACGAAGGGACTGACTCGGGCTAAGCATCTCCAGCATGCTCGGAGCATAGGGCTGAAGGATGATATTAGTTTTAGTAGTTAGATAATCTTGAAATTTGTAAAATGTAATTGACATTTGATGATAAATAAAAGCTGTTATTTATGAGTAAAGTGTTGCTATCTCTTGTCAATCGTTTACTATTATTTCTTTTTGCATGTTTTGACTTCCAGAATAATTATGTTATGGTTTATATCATATTATTCAAACTCTCCACAGTCGGTCATATGTTGGAAGTAGATATGAATCAAGACTGTCATGGGTTGGCTTGTAGAGGTCTAAGATGTTAGACAAAGCGGGGCTACAACACTCATGAGTGCTCATAAGTTCTGAGTATTGGATTCAACCCACGCTCACTTGTATCACTTCATGGAATTTATCTCGAGTGATCGTGGGACGATAATATCATATAAGTCTTTAAACCTAGAGATATGATTTGTTGCCTATGAGTTGGTTATGCATTGATTGCACGAAAACGCATTGGTAACTCGATGTTATAAACCGTGCTTTTGTGTGTAATTCAACAAGTAGTAGAGCAAACATATGAGTCGAAGTTTATATGTTCCTTCTAGAATTAGAAGCGATATCTAGGCCCCTTGATGATTTTGTTTTGATCTATGTACCGGGCCCGGTCAGAACTAAATTGATGTGTTCAGTTAAGTTCTATGTCAAACAACTCGGAAATTGGGAAACAAATGCTGGACAATAAGCAAGACCATGTTCCATGTATTTGTCCGGCTGATATCTAGAACAGAGGATTATATGATCACTTATCTAAAATGGCGCTTCATAGTTCAACAAAGTTTTAAGAGCTACGATTGTTGATCGGTTCCTGAAGTCATAGTTGCAACTATAGTTATTAGACTTATCCAAGTGGGAGACTGTTGGAGATAGTGTCTAAGTCCATAACTATATTTGGTATGTACTTGACCCGACCTGGCATGGTCCATTTGGGTTGCACTTCACCCGAACAATTTACGGATAATCTTTTGAGAATAGTATAAGTTATGATTTATTAATATATTATAAGTTCTAATATATTAATATAAAATCATATTATTTAATTAGTGTTGATCTATAATTAATTTAGAATTAATTTAGAAATCAAAAGTATGACTAATTAAATATGGGCTCTTGTATTTATATAGTGTGGGCTAATGCTTATTTGGAATGGGCTAGGCTTGCATGGAAAGTCCATGGATACTCCATGGAGCTTTAACCCATGGATCTCATGGAAATGAAAATACATGGGTATTAGGGTTTACATGGATGTAACCCTAATCCACCACACTATATAAATGAGGCTTTGGTTCTTGAAATAATACTAGTTGATGTGCGTAAACCAAGAGGGCCGATTTCAAGAAGTTTGTGACTATTCTCTCAAGTTTCCAAGTTTGTGGTGATTTGTGACTTCCATTTGAGGCATCCACATTATTGGTGCTAGGCTCTCAAACTCCAAGCAATCAACTACTACTACAAGGTAAGTAATTCTACTAGTTTTATTTGATTCAAGTATCCCATGCCATGCTAGTTAGGATAAGAACCTTGGAAAAATAATTATTTGCATGTATCTTAGTCAAACATAGATCCAAGGTTTCTAGGGTTGCATGTACACCATAAGAGTGTTAGAATGCTCAAAACCCATCAATCACCACGAACTCGTAATGCCCATAACGAGTCCTGAACGCCGTCTTCTGAATATCCTCATCACGCACCCTCATCTGATGATATCCAGATCTCAAATCAATCTTGGAGAACCAAGACGCTCCCTGCAACTGATCGAACAGATCGATCCTCGGTAAGGGATAACGGTTCTTGACTGTCAACTTGTTCAGCTCCTGGTAATCAATGCACATCCGGTGTGAACCATCCTTTTTCTTGACAAAAAGGATCGGCGCTCCCCACGGTGAGCTACTCGGTCGAATAAACCCCTTCCCCAGCAGCTCCTGAAGCTGCGAGGATAACTCCTGCATCTCTGGCGGCGAAAGGCGATAGGTTGCCTTGGCAATAGGCGCCGCTCCCGGAACTAAATCGATGCGAAACTCCACCTGCCTCTCGGGAGGCACACTCGACAACTCCTCGGGGAAAACGTCCGGGAACTCTCATACTATCGGTACATCATCAACCGAACTCGGCCTCTTCACGGCCCACTCGGGTGTCCATCATATTGGCTACAAACCCACTACAGCCCTGCTGTATACTCTGTCTCGCTCTAGCGGCCGAACAAAATGCTGACCCAGAACGGGTACCCTCGCCGTACACTGTAAGTACTCCCCCACTAGGGTCTCGTATCGTCACCAACTGTCACTCACAGTCTATAACAGCCCCAAATCAGCTCAACCAATCCATGCCCACTATGACACACACGTCCCCCATCGCAATCGGGACCAGATCTATCAGGAACTCAACACCGAAGATCTCGAGTACACATCCTCGAATCACATCCGTAGCATACACCGCTCGCTCGTCAGCTATGGAAACTCGTAGAGGCCGACTCAACGCCTCCCGCTGGATACTGATGTGCTGATTAAACGCTAAAGACACAAATGACCGACTCACACCCGAGTCAAATAACACCAAAGAAGGTACAAAACTCACAAGAAAAGTACCTACACATATCATAATATAAGCACAATATCTCAAACTCAGCATAAATAAATGAAAGAATACATACCAGCCACGACATCGTGCGCCGCGCGGACCTCTTCTGCTGTCAACTTGAAGGCTCTCCCGCGAGCCTTCGGTGCCTCGGCCTTTACTGGCCGAACCTTAGTAGCTCGCATGCCAGCAGAGGCAGATCCCTGCGGTGCTCCCTGCGGTGCTCCCTGTGCTGTCCCCCGCAGCTGCGGATACTCGGCCTTCCGGTGTCCGGTTTGGTTGCAATGAAAGCAAACCATGAACCCCTTGGGGCAATCCTTGGCTATGTGCCCCTCCTTGCCACATTTGTAGCAAGCACCTGATCGACAAACCCCATCATGTCCCTTTCCGCACTTCCCACAAGTGCGGCCCTTCTGGCCTCCAGATCTCGAATCGGCGGGCTTTGCCCGCTTGGCTGCCGGCTGAGACTGTGCCGGCTACCGATCCTTCCCATGAGACTCGGCCTCCTCCCGGGCCTGAGTCTTCAGCTCAATCTCCCTCTTCCGGACATTTGCCTGGAGCTCAGCAAATGTCCGGTATGACGAGTTCTCCACGAACTCCCTGATATCCCTCCACAAAATGCTCAAGTACCGACTCATGCGTGCCTGCTCAGACGACACGTGCTCAGGGCAAAACAAAACCCTCTCATGGAACATCCGTGTAATCACAGTCACTGACTCCGTCCCCTACTTGAGGGACAAAAACTCCTGGGCTAAACGTTCCCTCTCGACAGGGGGAACATACTCATCTCGAAACATCGTGCTGAACCTCTCCCAGGTCACCGCAGTAAGCTCTGCCGTGGTGAAGTCTGCCGTCACAAACTTTCACCAGTCCTTCACTCCCAAGCGAAGCAGGTTCAGTGAAAACCGAAGCCTCAAATGCTCCAGACACGAACAAGTGTAGAATCATCCCTCGATATCAGAAATCCATCTCATCACAGCGATCGGATCCTGCGTCCCATCAAACTCCGGTGGCTTCGTGTTGCTGAACTCCCGAAACAACATCGAGTCACCCCCCTGAGGTCTAGCAGTAGCAACAGTTGCAGTAGCTGCAGCAGCCGTAGCCTCAGTAACCTCTGCGTACCGCTCATCAAAGGTTTCAATCAATGTGGTCTTGATAGACCCAAACATCTTCGGAATCTCGGCTCGGATCGCCGCGGCCACCTCATCGCGGATCATCTGACGAAGCTCCTCATCACTCACGCCGCTCGTCTCAGGCCTGTGGCGTGTCCCAACCATGATGTCTCTGAAATACAACATAAAATATCAGAGACTCGCTCAAGCATACTCACACTCGATAACTCAACCCTACTTGTTCCCTACTACCCTAAGGATTCTTACTTGGACTGCGCACTAATCCGGTGTTTCCAGTAGTATGGGCCCTTATACTACCGTCCACACCGCATCAGTATTCACCCCAAGTCCTCCTCCTAGGATCCCAGATCACAAGTACTCTACATCTCGCTAGCATAGGCTACCCTTCGGTAGACCTCACATAAGCTCCTCACTGCTACCTACTCACTCTCAAGCATCTCATAGCAGCAGAAATCTTCCTAGGCTAAGGCATCACAAATCAGGCCACTCTAGTCCTAACATGAATACCTAGCCTACTCTAGCATGCATAACATATCATAACATATCTCATCACACATAATGTAAGGGTATTTTGGGAAATCACCGTTCGGGCGCTGGCTGATCGTACACACTGCTTCCTTCTGCTTTTCTCAAATTCTTTTACTTTTTAGAAAAGCTGTTTATTTTACGAAAACTTTCTCAAATCCTCAGTTTGAGTTCAAATACACCCGAAGGTGCATCCGAATCCCTCAAACCAAGGCTCTGATACCAACTTGTAACGACGTAAATTTCCAAAACAATTTTTCATTTTTAAAACATACTTTTATTCACAAGATAATATCAAAACATAATGTATCCAATGTTATCATAACAAAACATATCCCAGAATCTCAAAACATAAAAGTCCACAAGTGTGTACGGATCATGCCGGCGCCTTCCCGCGATCCTCGCTAGTACCTGAAACACATAACACAACCACTGTAAGCATAAATGCTTAGTGAGTTCCCCAAAATACCACATACAACACATACGCCACTCAAGGCCATAACTCTGTGGGACCTTCCGGTCCAAGTGTCTCAGGGAACTTCCGTCCCGAAATCCTGGTAGACCTTTCGGTCCTACCCGTATCGACCTTCCGGTCCGTAACTTCCTGACCTTCTGGTCCATACCAACTTGATCTTCCGGTCCTTATCATTCATAACATACATAACACATACATCATATAACAGCATACAACACATACATCTCATAGCAGATAAGACCTTCCGATCACACATAGGTACCACTCTAGGTACAGTATAGTGAGAAGACTCACCTCGGATAACTCGGTAAATCTCGAACTCGGAAATACTGATCTAGCCTCTGCCTAATCACATAAAATAATTACTCTAATCAATACGACTCTCAAAGGCTAGGCTATTCCCTCTCTAAGTTCTATCAGGAGGGTAAAAGACCATTTTACCCCTCCAATGGCTCAAAAGTCCCAACATTGACTAGACCCTAAAAGTCAACGAAAGTTAACGGTCAACTTGACCAGACTCGTCGAGTGCACATAGGTGACTCGGCGAGTCCAAGCGTGTCCTCTGGGTCTATCTAAACCTCACTCGACTCGTCGAGCGAACCTTCCACTCGACGGGTTACCACTGGTCATGAATCGCGGGGCAACCCGACTCGACTCGTCAAGTCCCCTTATGGACTCGGCGAGTTCCTTCCATGGCAACACTCAAACGACCTTCTGAGGTCAGATCTGCTTCTCCAACTAGTAGATCTAACCTTCTAGCACTCAAAAGTCACGTAAAGGTTCGAACTTTAGGCCCACGCATCACACTATCATCTCTATATGCCAAAATAACTCTTAATATGATAACCTAGGCCCCAAACTCATAAAGGATTGCATAAAGCTGAAGAATAGGGACTCTCTGGACCTCTCAAGGTCTAGATCTGATAATATTGTCACAAGGGGACATCACACACACTAGATCTCTTACCAAAAGTGAAGAGAAGAAACCCTAGATTCATGAAATCTATTACTCAAATGAAGATAGACATGAATCCTTACCTCCCACAGTAGCTCTGAACGAAATGATGGAAGATTTGAGTCCCACAAGTCAGCCTAGCTCGAAATCCATCCTTCCCTTTGCTAAAACACACCAAAGAATGATGAATTAGCCCTCCTCTTGCTCTACAAGCTTTCTCTCTGCTCACTAGGGTTTCTCAGGGGTGTAGTGGCCGCAAATGAAGGCCATAAAGGCCTTTAAATAGGGCACAGGCCCAAAGATTTAGGGTTTCTGCCGCCAGCACAGACTCGTCGAGTCCATTCATTAATCTAGTCAACGAATCGCGATCCTACTCGACGAGTCTAAGCGTCAAATCGTCGAGTTCCTCTCTTTAAATCAAAATAAAAGGTTAAAATAAAATACCTGGGAATCCGGATGTTACATACTCCCCCTCCTTTTCCCTCAAGACTGAAAAATACGAAAAAAGAAAAGTAAGAAAAAGATATTATCGATTTCTTCAGAAAGGTTGAGGTAAATATTCCCCCTTCTTGATGCAATAAAACAACTACCCCGATATGCTAAAATTTTGAAAGAGTTATGTACTTCAAAAAGAAAATTAAAAGGAAACGAAACAGTTAAAGTAAGCGAGAATGTTTCAGCTGTTTTACAAAAAAGGCTACCCCCAAAGTGTAAGGATCCAGGAGTATTTACTGTTCCTTGCAAGTTGGGGAACCTTTCAGTACCACGAGCTATGTTAGACTTAGGAGCTTCTATAAATGTTTTTCCATATTCACTTTTTAAAAATGTCGAGGTAGGGCTATTAAAAAGAGTAGGAGTCATCATTCAGTTAGCTGATCATTCTCTGGTGCACCCAAAAGGTGTGCTGGAAGACGTTTTGGTTCAAGTGAATGAAATTATTTTTCCAGCTGATTTCTATGTTTTAGATATGGGAGATCATTCTCTGGTGCACCCATATTCACGTTCCATTCTTTTGGGGAGACCATTTTTAAAATCTGTCATAACCAAAATAGTTGTTTATGATGGTACCTTTTTTCAATGGAATTTGATGGTGAAGTTATCAACTTCAATATTTATGATGCTATGCGTTATCCTGATGATGTTTCAGCCCTTAATTTCATTGATGTAATGGAACCATTATCTGAAGAATATTTTGAAATTGCTAACCGTGAGTCACTAGCATTAGTGCTCCATAGAAATATGTATATTGATGCAGCTGAGGTTTTATCAGAAAACTATGTGGTTGACAGAGAAGTTCAAGAAATGACAACTCATATGGACCAACAGAGAAAGTTGAGGTATGGTACCCAGACTCTAAAATTACCAATTTCTAACTCCAAACTTTTTCCCTCAGTAGTGCAAGCACCCATGTTGGAGCTGAAGACACTTCCAGAGCACCTGAAATATGCATATCTTGGAGAAAATGAAACACTACCAGTCATCATATCCAACAAGTTGTCAAAAAAAAAAGAGTCAGAACGTATCAGAATTTTTAAGGAGTATAAAAGCGCGATTGGGTGGACTGTTGTAGAAATCAAAGGACTCATACCATCTCTCTGCATGCATAAAATTTTGATGGAAGAAGTTTATAAGCCATCGCAGGAAGCCCAACACAAACTAAACCCACCAATGATGGAGGTGGTTTAAAAAGAAGTTATGAAGTTATTAGATGCTGGGATGATATACCCAATATCTGGCAGCAAATGGTTCAGCCCAGTTTAAGTCGTACCAAAAAAGGCTGGAGTGACAATGGTAGAGAACAAAGGAGAGTTGGTTCCAACTCGGGTTCAGAACGGATGGCGCGTTTGTATCGACAACAAAAAATTGAACGCAGCCACCCGGAAATATCATTTTCCTCTCCCATTCATAGATCAGATGCTAGAGAGGCTTGCTGCAAAATCCCATTACTGCTGTTTGGATGGATTCTTAGGTTTCCATCAGATTCCACTTACTCCAGAAGACCAAGAGAAAACGACCTTCACCTGCCCATTCGGGTCATTCGCGTACAGGCGTATGCCCTTTGGACTCTGCAACGCAACCCCTACCTTCTAGAGGTGTATGGTTAGTATCTTTTTTGAGTATGTCAAAAATACCATAGAAGTCCTCACGGACGATTTTACCGTCTATGGAGACTCCTTTTATATTTGTTTGAAAAACCTCACAAAATTTTTGCAAAGATGTATTGAAATAGATTTGGTCTTAAATTTTGAAAAATGTCACTTTATGGTTGACCAAGGTCTGATTCTGGGCCATATTGTTTCAAAAAGAGGTTTGGAAGTCGACAAAGCAAAAATAGATGTTATAAAAAGCTTACCCTACCGGAAGAGTGTTCGGGATGTGCGTTCTTTGCTTGGTCATGCAGGTTTTTTACAGGAGGTTTAGAAAAGATTTTTCGAAGATATTAGTTCCCATGTGCCACTTGCTACAAAAAGATTCTGAATTTGACTTCAATGAAGATTGCAAGAAAGCTTTTGATGTGCTGAAAAATCTTCTTACTTCAGCCCCCATTATTCAGCCACCAGACTGGAGTTTACCATTCGAGATAATGTGTGACGCAAGTAACACTGCCGTTGGAGCTGTTTTAGGACAGAGAAAAGATCGGGTCCCCCACGTTATATATTACACATTAAAAACTTTGGACAGCGCCCAAGCAAATTACTCCACCACAGAAAAAGAGCTGCTGTCAATTGTTTTTGCATTGGAAAAATTCAGACAATATTTGCTGGGCACGAAAGTTATAATCTTTTCTGATCACGCAGCCATTCGGTACCTTCTTGCCAAAAAGATTCAAAGCCAAGGTTGATCAGATGGATTTTGCTACTGAAGGAATTTGATATAGAGATCAGGGACAAAAGTGGGAGGGAAAATTTGGTAGTTGAACATTTGGGCCGACTCACTCCACCTGAAGAACCGACACCATTTCACGAAGCATTTCCTGACGAGCATCTATTAGCTGATCAGAACAATCCTTGGTTTGCTGATATAGTGAACTACTTGGTCTCCAGAGAACTCGCTTAATGCGATACAAAATGTTCGCAGTAGTAATAACACGGATAAAACTGAAAGCACTAGAAAGTACACACAGAATGCACTATCGCTCTTATAAAACACTTCTTCCTAATCGACTTAACACATGTTACGATAAGAAGT